TGTTGGGGCGGTATGCAAATTGAGGTGGGTCTAGGGTTTCTGGGATAATGGTGTTGATGTGAGCCATGACCAGCCTTTCAAAGCACTTCATGGCTACAGACGTCAGTGCTACGGGTCGGTAGTCATTTAGGCAGGTTATCTTAGTTTCCTTGGGCACGGGGACTATGGTGGTCTGCTTGAAACATGTTGGTATTACAGACTCAGTCAGGGACATGTTGAAAATGTCAGTGAAGACACTTGCCAGTTGGTCAGCACATGCTCGTAGTACACGTCCTGTGAATGTTGACCTGCTTAAAAGTCTTACTCACATCGGCTACGGAGAGCGTGATCACATAGTCATCCGGAACAGCTGATGCTCTCATGCATGCTTAAGTGTTGCTTGCCTTGAAGCGATTATAGAAGTGGTTTAGCTCGTCTGGAAGTCTTGTGTCACTGGGTAGCTCGCGGCTGTGCTTCCCTTTGTAGTCTGTAATAGTTTCCAAGCCCTGACACATCCGACGAGCATCAGAGCCGATGTAGTACGATTCAATCTTAGTCCTGTATTGACTCTTTGCCTGTTTGATGGTTCGTCGGAGGGCATAGCGGGATTTCTTATAAGCGTCCTGGTTAGAGTCCCGCTCCTTGAAAGCGGCAGCTCTACCCTTTAGCTCAGTGCGGATGTTTCTTGTGGCTTCTGGTTTGGGTATGTACGTATGGTCACTGTGGGGACGACATCATTGATGCACTTATTGATGAAGCCAGTGACTGATATGGTGTACTCCTCAATGCTATCTGAAGAATCCCGGAACATGTTCCAGTCTGTGCTAGCAAAACAGTCCTGTAGCTTAGCATCTGCGTCATCTGACCACTTTTTTATTAACAGAGTCACTGGTGCTTCCTGCTTTAGTTTTTGCTTATAAGTAGAAATCAGGAGGATAGAGTTATGGTCAGATTTGCCAAATGGAGGGCGAGGGAGAGCTTTGTATGCGTCTCTGTGTGTGGAGTAAATGTGGTCTAGAGTTTTTTTCCCCTCTGGTTGCACATTTAACATGCTGGTAGAAATTAGGTAGAACGGATTTAAGTTTCCCTGCATTAAAGTCCCCGGCCACTAGGAGCGCTGCCTCTGGATGAGCGTTTTCCTGTTGACTTATGGCCTTATAGAGCTCATTCAGTGCAATCTTAATGCCAGCATTAGTTTGTGGTGGTAAATAGACAGCTAGGAAAAATATAGATGAAAACTCTCTTGGTAAATAGTGTGGTCTACAGCTTATCATAAGATACTCTACCTCAGGCAAGCAAAACCTCGAGACTTCTTTAGTATTTGATTTTGTGCACCAGCTGTTGTTTACAAATATACACAGACTGCCACCCCTTGTCTTACCGGAGTCAGCCGTTCTATCCTGCCGATGTAGCGTATAGCCCGCTAGCTGTATGTTGTCCATGTCGTCGTTCAGCCACGACTCGGTGAAACATAAGATATTACAGTTTTTAATGTCCCATTGGTAGGATAACCGTAATCTTAGGTCATTGTCACGCCCTGACTCTGGGGACTCTTATTTGTTGAGTCAGGGTGTGTATTTTCTATGTGGTCTAGATCTATGTTGGCCGGTGTGGTTCCCAATCAGAGGCAGCTGTCACTCGTTGTCTCTGATTGGGGACAATACTTAGGCAGCCTTTTGGCACTAGTGGGTTGTGGGATCTTGTTCCATGTGAGGTTTGTTGTGTGTACCTTAGGACGTCACGTATCGTTGGTTTATTGTTTTGTTGTTGTGTTTATTCGTTAAATAAACATGTTTGCATAACACGCTGCGCCTTGGTCCGTCCCGTTTATGAACGAACGTGACAGAAGATCCCACCAGACCTGGACCAAGCAGTGTGCCGAGGAGGAGCAGAGAGGATGGACTTGGCAGGAGATGAGAGAGGATCTGGCAAGAAAGATGGAGGCCCTGATCAGGGTGGAGAGGCAACCCCAAGAACATTTTTGGGGGGGCACACGGTGTGGACGACGAGGCAGCAGGAGGCCGCGACAGGGCGGATCTGCTGGTTAGGAGAGGAGGCCACCAGATTACGGGGGCTATTGGTTCAGAGGGAGCAGAAGGAAGGTGTAGAGGCACGGCGAGAGGAGATGGTTAGGCAGCAGAAGGAGCGGGGGTTAATAAAGGAACCCAGTCCCGCTCCTCGCACCAAGCAAGTGGTGCGTGTCGCCAGTCCGGTCCGGCCCATTCCTGCTCCCCGCACTAAGCCAGTGGTGCGTGTTCCCAGTACGGCCCGACCCGTTCCTGCTCCTCGCACCAAGCCAGTGGTGCGCGTCGCCAGCCCGGCCCGGCCTGTTCCTGCTCCTCGCACCAAGCCAGTGGTGTGCGTTGCCAGCCCGGCCCGGCCTGTTCCTGCTCCTCGCACCAAGCCAGTGGTGCGCGTCGCCAGCCCGGCCCGGCCTGTTCCTGCTCCTCGCACCAAACCAGTGGTGCGTGTCGCCAGTCCGGTCCGGCCCGTGCCTGCTCCTCGCACCAGACCAGTGGTGCGTTTGTCCAGTCCGGCACGGCCCGGTCCACCGGTGCCTGGTCCGGCACCAGTCAGCTGCTCCACTCCGGAGCCAGAGCAGTCCGCTCCACCAGTGCCTGATCTAGTTCCGGTCAGCTGTTCCACTCCGGAGCCAGAGCAGTCCGCTCCACCGGTGCCTGATCCAGTTCCGGTCAGCTGTTCCACTCCGGAGCCAGAGCAGTCCGCTCCGCCGGTGCCTGATCCAGCTCCGGTCAGCTGCGCCACTCCGGAGCCAGAGCAGTCCGCTCCACCGGGGTCAAGTCCTGCTCCGGTCAGCGGCTCCACTCCGGAGCCAGAGCAGTCCGCTCCACCGTTGCCCAGTCCAGCTCCGGTCAGCGGCTCCAGTCCAGACCATGACGTCAGCCCCCTCTCCAGGTTCGGGGTCTCCCACACCAGGGTCCACCACAGGGCCTGGCGTATCGTGGGAGGAAGGAGAGGGGAAGTAGCGCGCCGAGGTCCAGACCAGACCAGGGGCGCAACAGGGAGGCGAAGAGTGAGAGGTCGTCACGCTTGAGCCGGATCCGCCTCCGAGGCGGAATGCCCACCCGGCCCCTACCCTGTTATGTTTATGTTGTGCGGTCGGAGTCCGCACCTTTGGGGGGGGGGGGGGGGTACTGTCACGCCCTGACTCTGGGGACTCTTATTTGTTGAGTCAGGGTGGTGTATTTTCTATGTGGTCTAGATCTATGTTGGGCCGGTGTGGTTCCCAATCAGAGGCAGCTGTCGCTCGTTGTCTCTGATTGGGGACCATACTTAGGCAGCCTTTTGGCACTAGTGGGTTGTGGGATCTTGTTCCGTGTGAGGTTTGTTGTGTGTACCTTAGGACGTCACGTATCGTTGGTTTATTGTTTTGTCGTTGTGTTTATTCGTTAAATAAACATGTTTGCATATCACGCTGCCGTTTATGAACGAACGTGACAGTCATCCAATTTTTTCTCAAATGACGGGGATTTGGGCCTTGTCGGGTGTCTGTAGGATATCCTTCGCGGCCGCCTAGTTGAAGAAAAAATCTTCGTCCAATACGAGGTGAGTAATCGCTGTCCTGATATCCAGAAGCTCTTTTTGGTTATAAGAGACGATGGCAGAGACATTATGTACAAAATAAATTACAAATAACGCGGAAAAAAACACACATAATAGTACAATTGGTTAGAGGGCTGTAAAACGGCAGCCATCTTCTCCGGCGCCAGTTCAGTTCAGTTCAGTTCTGCCCACAAATCTTCTATAGGATTGAGGTCAGGGCTTTGTGATGGCCACTCCAATACCTTGACTTTGTTGTCCTTAAGCCATTTTGCCACAACTTTGGAAGTATGCTTGGGTTCATTGTCCATTTGGAAGACCCATTTGCGACCAAGCCTTAACTTCCCTGACTGATGTCTTGAGATGTTTCTTCAATATATCCACATCATTTTCCTTCCTCACGATGCCATCTATTTTTGAAGTGCACCAGTCCCTCCTGCAGCAAAGCACCCCACAGCATGATGCTGCCACCCCTGTGCTTCACTGTTGGGATGGTGTTCTTCGACTTCCCCCTTTCTCCTCCAAACATAACGATGGTCATTATGGCCAAACAGTTCTATTTTTGTTTCATCAGACCAGCAGACATTTCTCCAAAAAGTATGATCTTTGTCCCCATGTGCAGTTGCAAACTGTAGGCTTTTTTATGGCGGTTTTGGAGCAGTGGCTTCTTCCTTGCTGAGCGGCCTTTCAGGTTATGTCGATATAGGACTCGTTTTAACTGTGGATATAGATACTTTTGTACCTGTTTCCTCCAGCATCTTCACAAGGTCCTTTGCTGTTGTTCTGGGATTGATTTGCTCTTTTCGCACCAATGTACGTTCATCTCTAGGAGACAGAACGCGTCTCCTTCCTGAGCAGTATGACGGCTGCGTGGTCCCATGGTGGTTATACTTGTGTACTATTGTTTGTACAGATGAACGTGGTACCTTCAGGCGTTTGGAAACTGCTCCCAAGGATGAACCAGAATAAAAGAACATTTCTGAGGTCTTGGCTGATTTCTTTTGATTTTCCCATGATGTCAAGCAAAGAGGCACTGAGTTTGAAGGTAGGCCTTGAAATACATCCACAGGTACTCCTCCAATGGACTCAAATGATGTCAATTAGCCTATCAGAAGCTTCTAAAGCCATGACATCATTTTCTGGAATTTTCCAAGCTGTTTAAAGGCACAGTCAATTTAGTGTATGAAAACTTCTGACCCACTGGAAATTGTGATACAGTGAATTATAAGTGAAATAATCTTTCTGTAAACAATTGTTGGAAAAATTACTTGCGTCATGCACAAAGTAGATGCACAAAGTAGATGTCCTAACCGACTTGCCAAAACTATTTGTGGAGTGGTTGAAAAATTAGTTTTAATGACTCCAACCTAAGTGTATGTAAACTTCCGACTTCAACTGTGCTTACAGATTACATTCACAGTGTCATTGGCATTTTCAGAGCTGACAGGGTTGCTGACTCTACACAGGTATTCTCCACTGTCTGTTCTCTTCTTTATGGACAGCACTCTCTTATCCTCAGATAAGATGATATTGTCACCAGAAGACAGAGGCTGACCATCCTTCATCCACTCTCTGGTGATGTTGAAGCCAGCAGCATCACAGGTTAAGGTGACAGAGCCCCCCTCGATGATTAGTAGGTTTGGGGTAAATGTGATAGTAGCACCAGATACTGTTTCAGTGAAAAGAGTACAAAATGAGATAATACTAATTATTGTGGTTTGGAAAAAAGAATATGAGATATGTTCATGTTACATTACCATGGACAGACGTGGAGCTCGAGTACCAGCACAGATGGGGCAGGGCGCTCTCGAGGAGTCCTTAGCAAATCTTTTAAAATGAATAGCTGATATGCCCCATTATAAAATCTAATTAGGCTGTTAGTAGGTTATTTCGTCATGTAACTTATTTATGACGCGCTACCGCATACCGCATACAGAGCCTAGTTTGAGCGAAGCGAGAGCTCACAGCTCATTAATCATGTGTTCTTATAATCCCAGTCAGTTGTGCAACATTTCTTCATGCAATCGCGTGTGAAAACAGAGTTTTACTTCATAGCCTATTATGAGGCATGTCTTACCTTGCTTCAAAGTAGCCTATAGCCAAAATCCGACCATAGAAACGTTTAGGGATTTATTTTATAAATATTCCTCATATGCCATTGAAACCAGCATTTCTCTCTTGTTCTTTAACTTTTTGTGTCAACTTTCTTTCGTTGTCCAGAAGCCAAAGGCACAATCCTATACTCTTAGAAAAAGGTTCCAAAAGGGTTCTATGGCTGTCCCCATAGGAGAACCCTTTTTGGTTCCAGGTAGAACGGTTTCTACATGGAACCCAAAAGGGTTCTACCTGGAACCAAAAAGGGTTATCCTATGGGGACAGCCGTAGAACCCTTTTGGAACCCTTTTTCTAAGAGTATAGTATTGTGCCTTTGGCGTCTGGACAACGAAAGAAAGTTGACACAAAAAGTTAAGGGACAGCCGAAGAACCCTTTTAGGTTCTAGATAGACACTTTTTTTCTAAGAGTCTAGTCATATTAACAACCAATCCTAGTTGTTGCATCTCTAACAGAGTTGCAACTCTAACATAGTTGTTGCATTTTTTACAGAGATTTTCACCTCTGTCACATGAAACCGCTGGCATCAGCTGCCTATTAGAATGTTGTTTTCCCGCTAATTGCATTTTGGAAAATGTTTGAAAATGATGTCGCCTAATACGTTGCCTGCTTCATTACAGTAGCTGCATGTTCAATAATGGCCTATAGCCTCTTGGCTGTGAGACGATAAAAAAAATTAACTGTGAATATTGAAAAGGCTTGGCTAAACAATCTGTGTTCATTTAATATTCTTGTAGAATAGTATTCTGGAAAATAATTTTCATGTTGTTTTGGTGCTGTATGAAGTAGAATATTAGTAGTTTTAAACTAACAAACCATACTAAATAAATACATAAATTAATAATAATTTTGAAGACCCTGGTCCCTCCCAGCAGCAGCCAGCCACCAGCCCAGGCAGCTGCCAGTCCCAGGCCAGGGGGGCCCTCAAGGGGGTACAGTGACAGACAGCTGTACATTGCTTTATAAAATAAGCAACACCAGCTCAGACCAATTCCAGGATTTAATGAAATCGTATAATATATTGTACTATATATACATTTGCCATATTTTACAGTGTCAAATAATGTTTTTTGGTACATCATCGTTGAAAACGTTTATTAAATGTTTATATGCAGGAACAGGGGGCCCCTAGGTGCGTGGGCCCTGGGGTGGTCACCAGGGTTGTGGTCAATTCCATTTAAATTCCAGTAAAATCAGGAAGTACACTTAATTTCCAATTCCAATTATCTTCCATGGTTTTCAATTAGTAAAAATGTAAATGTAAATTTGAATTGGAGTTTGGTTCACTTTTTGAATTGACTGGAATCTAAATGTAATTGACCCCAACCCTGGTGGTCACACCCATGGCCCTCGCACTAGCTCTGCTTCTGACCATGGATCATGTATGTATGAGTGTCAAGAGATATCCATCAAATAAATTGTAACTGCACCATTAAAGACTAGAGTAACTGCATTTCAACAAGCACATTGTGTTTTTTGTTTTATATTGTTTTTATGGATGGAAGTACATTATATTCACATTAGTTGACAACTCAATACAATATCAATGCACATTTATCATTCAGTGACATCTTTTGGAACTCAGGGGGTACTCACCATAGACATTCAGTGAAGTATCTGCCAACTGCATAAAATCAGACTCTCCTATGATCACTCTGTATTCTCCTCTGTCAGCCAGGGTCAGTTTCCTGAGCTCCAGAGATCCAGTGCTATTGTCCAGACTGATCCTACCAACATATCCCGCTCTGGTCACAGGACCTTCAGAACTGAGAAAGTCAACAATGGTGACAGGGGGATCACCAAATGTCCAAGAGACTGCACTAAGTGTGGTTGGATTGATGGTGGTTTTGAAAATCACATTTCCTCCCAATGTACCATTCACAGGTCCAGGTGGAAGCACTTCTAGACAAGAACAATATCCTGAGGAAACAATAACAGGGCTTGATTATCATGTCTCCAAAACAAACACAAAATGCTGTCATCAAAGACATAAGTGGAACGTTTTCAAATAACTTCTTAAACGCTCTTATAAAATAATAATTTCATCAAGAACATTTTTGAAGCCACTATGGTAGCCACTGTGCCTAGTGGAATAACTATATTTTGTGAGAGCAAATATTAAGCAGCATTTGTCACCACCTGAAGGGGATAGTTCATCCAAATTACAAAATTACATATTGGATCCTTTACCATGTAAGCCATCTATGGACAAGGTCTGACAGCAATCCGTTAAACATTTAATTAAATGTGTATGGCCTTAGAGATGGATATGAACATCATTGAAACTACGTCTATGACTATTGACAAAGAACCTGCTATTTATTGAAGAACAATTCCTACTGTCACGGGAGAGGAGAATAATATATTACATTAACACAGAATAGATGGTCCTAAAATTTCAGAAGGATCAAGAAAGGGTTTGGAAATTATGACATTTTTTACACCTTGGTGTCAACATTGACCCAATGTTCGTGGTTTTAGGGTTAACCTATGTGTGGCTGTATTTTATTGAGTGCAGCAGATAAGGTCTCACCTGAGAGTATTGCCATGGTAAGAAAGACAACAGCAGATGCCACCATCTCTTCTGATGTAACAAATGTCTGTGATTCAGACTAGTTCTGTCTCTACAAATAATTATTACATAGGAGACAGGGCTTCAATAAAAGCAGTCTACAGTAACACCAAAACCTGATATGAGGAAGAAATATCGAGATAAAATGTTTTGATGAGTTACATCACTGCATGAAGGAACAAGTGACCAAACTCCACTATTGGAACACTACAACCCACCTCCACTAAGACTAATAAGGAAGCTGTGGGGGGTTTTACATTCACTGAGTCTGTTGCCCTCTATTGCGTTGCAGGCTTTGACTGATAAACATAGTGGACTTTGGTCTTGAGGTATTTTCTGATAATAGATTATATAATATATATAATAAAGGTTTGTGCTTTATACTCCTTCTCTAACATTGACATCACTGTAGGGTCACATAGAACCAACACCCAGCTTTGTATGAATGAATGAACTGAATGTAATTAGGTCATATCAACATACTGCTGGAGACACTTGACACAAAGAACAACAAAGTTGATGGAGAAAAGTAATCGTTATTATTAATTCTGTTTTTACATCATGTAAAGCAATACATTACTCCAGCTTCTTTACCTTTTTGACTCCACACTTCACAATACAGTGTTCTATAAATAATGTTGTGGAAAATAACCACTATACTTTATTACAAATAAGGTCTTACAGAGTTTTTGTTGCATCAAGAAATGACTTTATTAAAGTTTTCAACAAAGCCGATACCAGTCTGCAGAGTGGCACCACGTTCTGTTTTCCTCACGTCACATTATATACAATTTTCCCCAACTCTTCTAGCTCTAAATCCCTCACCCTTCAGTTTCCCGCTCTTTATCACTCCACACCCACTTCCTTTGTCCCTGAGGACGGCTGAACTATTACTCCAACAAATCACTCGCTCCCCTGTCTTGCACACACACTAATGTTTAGTTTAAACATGACAAGGCCCTAAATTACACAAACCTCACCCCCTCATGCTGTAATCAATCAAGAAGATACCAAGGAGACAAAGGTCTAGCCCAAACTCTATTCAACCCTGGTGCCGCTCCCTTCACTGTGTTTGAAGAGAGAGACAAAAGGCCACAAGCTAGTTTCAGTCTCTCATCAGATAAGACCGCCATGGATTTAAGTAAGAGCAAGCAATCTGACCCTAGGGCAGATTTCCTCTCTACTCCCCCCCACACACAGTGAAATGTCCCAATTAAATTCCTAGCCCAGTAACAAACAATTCTAACTCAATGTTCGTGATTAACCCAGTTCTATATCCTAAATCATTAAAGAATACACATCAATACTTGTATTGACTATTTACATTTTATTGTTAACATTACATCCTCCACATGCTTTGATAAGTTACGGTATCGTTGTTATCTACTTTCATTAACAAGGTTTTGGTTTTCAATATTAATAAAGTAAACAATAAAGCAGATTATCAAACATAAGATATATTTATTGATTATGTACATTATATTACAGATCCACACTGGGTGTTATCATGCAGGTTTTCTATGTGTTGATGATGGATTTAACTTGATTGCTGGAGGTGGTGTGGAAGACCAAACTAAATGAAACATATATTATATATATAGAAATGTTTGACCATACTGGTTCTAGATATGTGCCAAACTGCTGATCAATATTACAAATGTGTGTAAACTATCCATTTAATGAACTCTGCAATAAAAACAAAACTGAACTAAAGTCAGGGTTGGGCATTTGTCATCTCTAGTGTGTGGTTTTTACACTAGTGTGTGGTTTTTGGATACTGAAGTTTTGACACGTTTTGGCTTTCACTCTGTAACTGGCCACTAACGGCCATATAGGGGCCTTTTCCTATCTATGCAGTGGTGTGTGTGACATTAGTGTGAGAGTTATTCAGAGATGTGTGTGGGAAATGTATGTCTGCATCTTTCTCAAAGGCTTTTCAATTATGTTGTTCACACCATGAGAAACTGCCGATCCCTTATTACAGGTTTTCCCAAACTCAGTCCTGGGGCACCCCCTTGGTGCATGTTTTGGTTTTTACCCTGGCACTACACAGCTGATTCAAATAATCAAACTTGATGTTGAGCTGGGCAGGAGGACTGAACTCTGTTGAGCAGGACATAGTGAGGTCTGACCAGAGACATTAGAGAAAGCGAGACACCCCACTACCTCATTTTTTTTAGGTCAGGGTGGGGCCACTCTGGTCTACTTGTGCCCCCGCCACACGGGCGCACGCAAGAGAGGGAACGCCCAATTATACAGACAGGAACCTTGACAATTTTTTCCAATGGTAAACTGCCTGAGTAAGACATCTTAATTTATCCACCATGTTTGTTCTGACCCTGATCCATACAGTACATCTACATTTAAATTATCAACAGATTCAAACCAGCGACCTTTCAACCTTTTGGCCCAACGCTCTTAACCGCTAGCCTACCTGCTGCCCTAAAGGGGTCTAGAGGGGTTATCTAAAGGGGTCACCTTCATTGTGGTGTTTTCTGAACCTTCTGCGACACATTTGAAAACCATTGTAAGCCCAGTAAAACATCAATGTCCAATAAATGTCATGGTCAAGACCAAGAGACAATATTCAACCAGCTAGAGTGTTCAACAAGTGTAGGTCATGTGAGCCTGTAGAATAACTTGAGCAGTAATTGGATAAAACATACAGATCCATACAGTTTGTTAATGAAAATGGACTCACAGCTGATAGTGAGGGTTAGAGGCTGGCTGGTTCCATTACTGACGGGGTCGAACCAATTATATGTATTAATCCTAGATGACTGACAAGGGGGCCGCTGTTTTGAAACCATTGTGCAGGCATTGTGGAACTCCTCCATAGTAAAACATGATTTGGAAGCCATAGAAATCAATTTATTATTGTCTACATTCATTTTTGACAGGTATATTATATTTCAGACACCTTAATGTATACTTTTAAATTATATTATGTGACCTGAACAAAAAATATATATATAAAAAATATTACTTAAAGTAATTTTTTGGGAGAGTACTAAGGTTACTGTCTCCACTACAACAAATAAATACTTAAATAAATATAAATTTGTCCTTGAAACATTTTAATACTGTAGAATTCCATTCATTCCTAAGGAGGACTGCTCCTTCTGAGGAGTACCAATATGGTGGCAGGTGGATTCAAAGCCTCTCATTGGCCATTACATAGCATCAGCAATCCAGGGTTTATAAACATCATTGGGTTGAACACAGTACAGCTGAATGGTCCCGGGTCATACCAGGTCACACTGACTATGGTGATAGTGCTGTTTCCATCAACAAGCTGAAATCCATCACTACCTGTGACCTCATAGCTGCCATTCAGGGAGGAGCCAGAGGAGGAGCAGGACAAACTGACAGAGCTGTTGAACTCCACTAAATCTGTGTTGCAGGGAGTTATTGTCACTTTGTAGACTAGCTGTGTGGGTTACAAACAGAATAACTAATTTCTCTTTGCTTAGAAAACAATTTCTGAAGAATGTACCATTTCTGAACACATTGTTTCATCATACACTACTAACTAGAATACATGAGATCATTAGAAACAAATTAAGTGGAGAAATGGCACTGTGCCCAGACAACTGACTGGATTTGAGAAACAGCAGCTCATTAAACTGTGAATGACAAACAGCTACACCCTCACATGGCCTAAGCCTATACAATCTATACAGATTATTGGATGTTTCTGATTTCACCACAGAGGGAAAGTGTACTTTATGTCAAAACAATTTCCTACATTTCCTAGATCTAAATCAGTAGTACTCACCATATACCTCCAGTCTTGTTTCCCCACTCAGCGCTGATCCTTGTTTAAGGGCCAGGTCCCTGAGTTCTAGAGATCCAGTGGTTTTGTCCAGAGTTATTCTGTCTTCATATCCAGGACGGATGTTGTCACGAGTGATGATAGCGATGATTACATTGAGAACACATTCTCCTCTGGATCAACCGTTGTGGTGAATGTGACATTTTCTCCTACCTCAGCAACCAGGGGGTTGCTTAGGTAACATACGTAATCCATAACAAGACCCTGGAGAGACAACAACAGAACAGATTTGGGTATTTCTTCATAATGTATGTTACACGCACATGACAGGAGTGACTATAAGACGCTTTGGATAAAAGCGTCTGCTAAATGGCATATTATTATTATTATATCCTGTCACTGTATCCCAGTTCATTGGTGTCAGAGGACAGGTTATTACACTGGTAACAATAACTTTCAAGACTACTGATGTAACTGGATGAGATGTTAGCGTATTGAGGTTAACATTCTCTACTATAGCTCAATATACAGCTTCAGAGGGAAACATGTTGGCTTGCCTGAATGATGGCTC